TTGTTTCAATGGTTTTTGCCTGGTAGCGGGACTTTTGTCCACGACTGTATGTTCGGAGTTCGGAATGACTTGAGACGAAAAGTATGTCACCCCAGCTTTTAACTGTCACAAAAAAATACAATACTAAAATTATAATCCATGTATACTTCTATAGATTAAACAGTTGATTGTAAGAACTGACTGAGGAATAGAAGCACAAACATTCAAAAAACAACATAGCAACAGTAGCAATCAATTAAACGATAACCAGCCTAATTTATATCAAAGGTTCCACAATCCTAAGTTGAGATTCTATGATCAGTTGAATGTTAAATTCTATAACATCTCATATCGATCATCACCACTTGATTTAGGTAGACTTCCTCCGACAGCGGTAGGGCAAGCTTGTGATTGAGTTCCGATGAAAACTGCACCAGCAGAGGGTTGCGTTGATTGTACTCGAGTAAAGAACGAAGTAGGAATGGAGGTTAAAGTAATTGGATATTGTTGCTGAGGTCGAGACAGAGCAACTAGCATTTGTAAATTACGAATTTCGTGTTCTTGTTCACTTCTTCGTCGCATACGTTTTGTTTCTAATTCAAATTCAAATTTCATACGTTTTTCTTCAATTTGAGCTAAAAATCAAACAGTGAGAACAGATAGCGTAAAGAAAAACTCACCTTGTACTTGTCCATAATGGTAAAGTGTCAAAAGACCGACAGTCAAAACGTCGAAGGGCAAAATATCGAAGAAAAAACGTCGAAAAAAAAACATCGAAGAGTCAAAACGTCGAAAGGGTAAAACGTCGAAAATCCAAAAATGTCGAAAATAAAATGTCGAATGTACAAAATGTCGAAATGTAAAAATGTCGAAAAGAAAATGTCGAAAAGCAAAAGATCGAAAATGTTGAATATGAATGAGAGTACTACGAAATTTTCTAATAGTGCATTGTCTATTATTTTACGTCTGTTAAATAGAAGAAGATATAGATTTTGCATTCTTGTTGAACACAAGAGGAAGCAAAACAGATGAAAAAAAATTGTTATATTATAATTCAAATACACAAGAAAAAACAGTAAAAGTGCAGATACAATGAAGAATTTAATTTTTACTTTTCACATTTTTTGCAACAAAGAAAGACAAATATAAACCTTGTAAATATTCTTGAACATCAATTTCTTGATTGTCGAATCGACTTGTAAGTGCATTAAGCCTGTCTTGCATCGCGCACTTTTTTCGACCTATTTTTATTTTTTCCACTCTTCATTATGTATTACAACACGATAAATGATTAAATGTCCACATACATCGTTAGAAAGAGATATATATGGACGGATAATAAGAAAAAAATAGATAATGAGCGAAAAAAAAGACGCTAGTTGAGGCCGCGACGAAAGCAAGAAAAAATTTACATAAATGCATATGCCCTTATGGCGAAATTTATCAACAATAATGTAAGAGTGCAAGTATAGTATGTGTATGAATCTTTTTTTCTTTGGTACTGATTAGAAAATTTTCGACATTTTGTACTTTCGAGATTTTTCTCTTCGACTTTTTCACTTTCGATATTTTGCCTTTTCGACATTTAGTTTTCGACGTTTTTCCTTCGATATTATGCCATTCGACTTTTTTCTTTTCGATATTTTGTCTCTTCGATGTTTTGCCTCTTCGATATTTTAACTTTCGACGTTTTGACTTTCGATCTTTTGACACCTATTCGTCCATAATCAGCAATGAATTTCTCAATTGCAGTAATATACGGTTGGCCGTAAAAATGCCGAAAGGAAAAATGCCGAAAGGAAAAATATCGAAAGGAAAAATATCGAAAGGAAAAATGTCGAAAGAACGAAGAGGAAAAATGTCGAAAGGGAAAAATGTCGAAAGAAAAAATATAGAAGAGGAAAAATGTCGAAAAAATAATATCGACACAAAAATGGTTGATAAATATTTTGAAGAGTTGTGAATAGTGAAGAACATGTTATATAATATGAGTTAGTGTTAATATTATAACAGTTACAAAAACAGATAATGAAAAAAATTGATTTATTATTTTTTTTGCATAGCAACTATGGATTGTTGTTTTATTCAGTTTGAAAACATAGTCATCTGCTACGAGTAAAGATTTTCCTTTATTTGTATTTATAAATGAAAAGCTAGAGATACTGATCGAGCTACGTCACTTTCAGATATAGCAGTTTCAGTCGTGACAATATAATTTTAGTTAATATAATAGTTCTTCGCTTAACTCTCTTATTTAATTTTTATCAGGTAGTAGTCGTCAAAATCACGACTGCTTAAACTTCTATAGTATCACAACTATGAGAAAAACAACAGTGAACTAGACATGATTAGAGTCACAATTTATTGGATACATCATCTTTTTCGATATTTTTCTGTTACAATATTCTTCCACTTCCATATTTACTTTTCGACATTTCTCCTCTTCTAGATTTTTTCTTTCGACATTTTTCCCTTTCGATATTTTTCCTTTCGACATTTTTCCTTTTCGACATTTTTCCCCTTCGATATTTTTCCTTTCGACATTTTTCCCTTTCGACATTTTGCCAGCACACCTAATATACTTTTTTCGTTTATTGCTGATGATTGTCGAAGTTGATGAATCTCCTTCTCGTTTGCTGCTGCTTGAGGATGATGGTGATGAAGATTTAGATCTACTTTTATCATTTATTCGTTTTTGTGCTCTAGGTTCCATGATGACGTTTTCTTGTTCATTGTTCGACACTGTTTCGATATCATCATTGGTTTTTGCAGCATCTGTATCGACGGTGAACGGTGGATTGACAACATCTTTCGATTCGAAGATGTCGTCTGTATCATCCTATAACGAAAGAACTTATTATTTCTTTCTTCGATCTCTTGAATGGGTCAAACAAAGATAGATGTTGTAATATATGAATACTCACATAAAGTTGACTTGTTACTGGAGAAGCTCCTGTTCGACGATTGTTATCTTTTACTCGAACATAGGTTTGACGAATGGATCGATGTCGATTCTTGATCTGTTCGATTGTTCGGTTACACTTTTTTTCGTTCAGTCAACTTTGAATCATTCTCCAGCCTTCTCGATTTCGATGATCATTCAATTGCTTTGCAATTGACTCCTCCTTCAGCAAACTGAGTAGCAGACTCGTTTTCGACTCTGACCAAACAGTTCGTTTATTATCAATAGTAGTCCTGTTATTGTTGCTAGTTATTTTGATGTTGTTCTTGTCCGAAGACAATTCCATATTTAAAAAGAAATCGGAAAAAAATTATTTAAATCTTTCAATTGCGGTTATTTAAGGAGGTAGGCGACAACAATTGTCTATAACAGCTAAAAATCGAGTTAATGAGACAAAAATGTTCTTTTCACAGAACAATTGCTTCAAGAAAGAGCGAGAGTTGTTGTTTGAAACAAAAAACACGAATCCAATCAGATCATGAGCCTCCGTTTTGATTACAAATACTATGAGCGACGCGTTTAGATGGCAATCGTGCACACATATGCATGCATAGTGCTATGTATGCACAGAGTTGTGCACGTTTAACACATACATAACTTTAATCATGCACAAGGCATTATTCATGTTCAAGCGCGGATTTAGACGACGAGTTATGCATGCATAGCAATACATGATCGCCTTAATCATGCATAAGAGCGCTGTATAAACATAGTGTAACTCTTATATTCCAGACACTATGAGATGAGATATAGAAGTACTTCTTTATTACCTAAATCTCATGATACTAAATTCATCATATCGAAGTATCTCTTTTTGAGAGCTAACTGTAGGCAAAGCTACGTGCTTTTTACTCATAATGAGACCCTGGTTTTTGTTTTTAATCTCATTCATATACTGATCGGTATTTATTTCCAAGCTCTGTTTAAAACTGCTAAGCATCATCCTAAATAAATGTTGATATCGTCATTCATTATGATTCATGTCATTTTGATCCTGAAACTATTCATAAAAGTATACTATCTTCTATGGCATATATATCTATCATTTCCATCAATGAATAGTTAGTACTACAGTAATAAAATCTCCTTTGAAAAATACTCTCTTTTTTCTGAAAGAAATTAGTTTTTCGAGAGAATTATTTTATGTGAATATACACATGCATGTCTAAAAATACAAATGAATTTGAATAAACTGAAAAATGAAAATGACAAAACCAAATATAAGCATGACTGTCTATTGTTGTGGAAGATAGTGATTTTAATGTATGATTCGGGGGTATTGTTGCTGTTGTCCACTTGTAGCCTGACCTGCTTGCTGATGTTGCTGTGCACAACCGATTTGATCATCTTGTTGGGGTTGTTGTTGATTTTGCTGGCGATTGGCACCTTGACCCTGTTGTTGTTGATTGTTGTCATTCTGACCACCTTGTTGCTGTTGCTGAGCATTAGCACCTTGACCTTGTTGCTGTTTTTGAGCATTAGCTCCTTGCCCAGGTTGTTGTTGCTGTCGATTGTTGCCTTGGCCAGGTTGTTGTTGCTGTTGATTGTTGCCTTGGCCAGGTTGTTGTTGTTGCTGTTGCTTGTTGCCTTGACCAGGTTGTTGTTGCTGTTGGTTGTTGCCTTGACCAGGTTGTTGATTTTGATTGACTGATGTCGATGCTGACATTTTTTTATTCAATCTTGTTTAAGTTAAGGTAATAAACGGGATATAACTATTCACTATTGTTGCTTTGATTCAATGTACTGTTGTGCTTCGATGTGCATCTCGTATTTATATTTGAGAAATGCGCATAATAGAAATTATAACAGCGCAATTAATTACAATTACAAGACAACATCAATACAACGATGTTTTTTTTTATTCAAATCACACCATGTAATTGAAGTACGAAGAATGTTTCATTTAAAAAAACATCGCAGTACTCTTGATAGAGACAAAAAACCATTCTTTGTTCTGTTTTACTTCTTGATCGCATGTGTACTGAAAGACGCCAAAAATAAGAGTTTTACCCCGTAAACACCTAAATCAAGAAGATACGTTTGTCAATGGTGGTTAAAACGATGAAATAAGTGAAGAAGTGAACATCGTATAGGACGATGACATAGAAAAGAAGTAGACGACCGTAGATGGTCATAAGTTATTCGTGAGTTGAATTGTACATCTTAAGTATCTAGTTCTTGAGTTTTCAACTCAACAATGACTTCAATGCTTATTATTACTTTTGAATAGAGTGTTTTTTTCTCACTTAGATTATTTTGATCAATAAGTTGAGTAATATTAGTTAGAATGTTTTTAATGAATGATTTTCTTTCCTTATTTAGCTTGATTTCAACAAGCAACGAACAATAAGTATCTATTCAAATAAATAATACTTTTGCGATATTTGGAGGGTGGAATATTGCACCCTTTTTAGTATTGAGAGGACTAGGCAAATAGGATGAAAGACGACATTGTGTAAGATTCTGTACGATGATTCATATTGCGTGTGTTCTAGTTTTATTTCGTATGACACAACGAAATAGAGTCGTAAATCAAGAGGTAAGCAGTACGAGTGTATTTTATAAGGTCATCATCTAGGCTTGACTGATAACACACGCACATTGTCACTGCATGTAATTTCTCTTTTGTTTCTTGAAAGCATTATCAACACAACTTTCACAATGAATCATTCGAAGAGAGCACATAAGATTGGATCAGTAAAATGGACGAAATCGTAGGTAAATAAAATACATATATATGTATAAATGATCAACATAAACATGGAATACTCAGTACTAAAATGAATAGTAATAAATTGTAAAATAATCAATTTATTCTATAGAATTAGAAGTGAAAAATATGAATGTGATGAGTAAAAAATTCAAATTTTGCTGGTAGATAAAAGGTAAGCTGTACCCATATAAAGTATGAAGTAGTATGAGATAAATAAATTGCAATAAATAAAACACAAAAGAAATGAGAAGAAATCCAAAATAACATTATATATCAATGTAAACTAGGGATGCACTGGTGACGTTACACCATTCACCAGTCCATCGTAGTACCGGTGGCACTGGTGCACTGATCATTATTTTTGTATTCCTCTGCCTATGCTACACGGTACATCCCAGAAATTCGAGTACTCAATTTTTTGGTAATACATGATCTCGTGTCTTAATCAAATGAAGTTTGCGAATACTAATCGGGAATTCGGGATATGGCGGAGGATCAAGCCAGTAAGAGTATAGAAACCTACGGTGAAGACCAAAGCATTAGTACCAATGGATGCATTGAGCCTTATATTGTCTAAGTAGCAGTAGAAGCCGATCATCGCCGTATGTTTTTATGGTTCTAAATTGACAGCATTGACCTTCACGGCGATAGTCGAAGCTATATTTCTCAGTAGACGATGCTATGACAAAGGAAACATTTCTTTCATACCTCATTACTGTGATTAGGCTGAAAAAAGGGCCGATTGAACCTTGATAACCTATAGTAATGACCGATGTAAGAGCATTAGTAGCTGATGAAAGCATGCAGACGTCTGAATAATTGGTGAACGCAGCCATCTCAGCAAGTTCTTGATATTCTAACCGGCCATATTCGCCTTAACACTGTGGATTGAAAACATATTCAAGATTCGAAATTGTGATCGTATAGAAGACACCCTTTTGCTCACGAATGTAATGATCAGGTTATACCGATATCGTCGGTTTGAACACAAAAACCTTAGGTGATGGTTGATGTATCAACATTAGCATGGGCTATGACATCTAAAGTGCCTAAATAATCATAGATATCGGCCATCACCGTAGGTTCCTCCTGCTCTAACCGGCATTATTGTTCGCAATCGTCATTATTTAAACTGTATTTTTAACGGTAGACTATTATCTTATAGAGGACCTTTTTGGAGCACTAGTACAATGATCAAGCTAACAATACAGCTGATGGGAGCATGAAAACCTGTGCTAATGGAGCCTATTTCGGTCTGAGTAGTTGCTGTGAGCTTTAAAGTGTTCTATTAATGGCAGGAAATGGCAATCATAATAGGTTCCCAGCTTGTTTCCGGAAAAACTTATCCTTACAATTACAAGAAGATGTGATTCTTGCTCTGTTGTATTGTTGAAAGCGCAAAACTCCAGAATGCATTCTCATAAAAATTAGTCACTATTTCGTGCTTTGTGACTTATTCATAGACTAAGTAATGACTTAAATGTGATAAATTTTGCTTGGAAATTAATGTAATACAATAATACGGGATTTGTCGACTAGACACCACTGATCCGTGAGCAGGGTGTGGGTGTGGATGTGGGTTTGGATGAGATCAACATTAACAGTCATATCCCACACCCACACCCACACCCCCCCCCCCCCCCCCCCCCCCCCCCCC